AGGGACATTATGTAATAGATGAGAGTCTAAAGCATTTACCGGTCTATTTTTTAGAGCTAGAATTTTCAAGTGCCCTGCTGTCTTGGACAAAAAGAGGAAAAAAACCCATGAATGATTATTTATTTTAGAGTATTGGACTGGACAGATGGATCTTAAAGCTTGAAATCCGTAGCGCAGTTCCCACTGCTCTTCCTCACATCAGCACTGCTTATGTCAGACCTGAAATTCTCCCGCAATAATTCTCAAACAGAATTTGTTTTCAGTCTCATTACAGCTGCTGCTCTCTCCCTTCCTCACACATAATTACACTTTCTAGTTAAGCTGTCAGGTTACATGTTAATGTGATTGTATGTAGGACTTGAAGTTTCTTCAAGAGATTTTTGCAAACTTTTTTGCGTTTAACAAAAAATCTGTCAAAGCTCTTAATTTACATCTCTTCTCATTGCCGTATCTCTTTCTCTTCACCTCCTGACTCTTACGCTACAGGAGCCCGACTGAGCCAAACATTATCATTTCAGAGAACACACACACACACACAGAATGCAGCACAGATGGCAGACATGGTCTCTTTCCCACACATGAATAGTTAAATATTTACCATCCCAGATTGTCTTTCTTCCAATCTCATCCTTCTTTCCTCCACCTTTTTATACCGTATACTTATTTTGTCGCTTGCTGCGTTTTGGTTTGTTTCCCGTCCCAGTGGCCGTGCCTTCATTTTGGCACAGGCCACGTTCACAGGCATCTGTTGTTCGAACATACACATATTTTAAATATCCGATGACGAGGCTCGTTCTGTGTCTATGGGGACTCGTGCACGCATGTATTGAACGTGTGAAGTCTTTAGCAAACAAAGAGTTGATGGTGAGATTTCTGAAGCTTAATTCAGCCCATCCAGGCTGATTAGGGATTAGCTGGAGATTTTAATAGTAGAGTTTAGCCTTCGTGTGATGGTTCCCTGTCCTCCTGTGCAAAACTTAACTAAAACCTAATTAATAGCTAATGGAGGCTGCTGTCTATGGGGGTGTTGTCCATTTGCCTCAGTGAAGCAGGAGCAGAAGTGACAGAGAGGAAAATACACAGACAAAGACACATGATTTTCTTCAGCAGCGCCTTTTAAGCACCTGCTGAAGTCTCACCATTAGTCATTAGAGTAGCGATTGACTCTTTCTTTTCTCTTCACATGTGTAATATATTCATAAGGTATTCATTTGCTTTCCATTATAACACATCATCCATGGTCTCGGACTTCATCAAATAGTGACCAAATTAAATGCAGGTTTTCATGCATCCTTAATATATGTTTATGGTTCATATACGGGGAGATTGTAAGTTGTCAGTAGGGGTGAAAGCGGAGGATGTTTATGCTTTATTTAAATCCTGCTGAGTTTAACATATGAAGCTTCATATTTAGACTTTGATGATGATGCTTTCACAATATATTTTTAACATACATTTATTTTTGTCTGTGTTTTGTGGCAAATAAGACCCTCTGTGGGCTTTTCTTTAATAAATATAAAATCTTTATTTAACACTTTTGTCACTCACTCACTTTTAATGCCTCAGTTATGGAAATGTCCTTTTCTGCTTTCTGTTTATCTCCTTTCCACACACACTTTTGGGGTTTTTTTTGGTAAATCTTTACTGGTTTGTCTACTGGTTTGAAAAACACGCATTTTTGAATATGTCTGAAGGTTCTCAGTCATCCAGGTCATCAGAAATCACATGATAGGGTGGGGCCAGTTTTCACAATGAGCTCACCCGAAACCCTGGCTGATTGGGACCTACACCCGCTTTCACACCTTGGCTCATGTGATTAGGTAGAGGATCATCAGGGGGTCCTTTGTCCCTCTTTGGGGGGAAACTCCCACTGGGTTTAAATCTGGGACTCCCCATCACTGACTCTTAGAACTGCAGAAGCTTCTTGAATGAGAGGTGAAACATCTTCAAGCAACTCAAAGAAGTCCAGACGCTTTTCTTTCCAAGCTCCTTAGACTACGCATTTTTAAAGCGCGCGTCCTCAAAATTCTCACAAGCAGCAGTTGTAAGAGCAGCATTAGAGCGCTACTGAATATCAGAAAGCGTTTTCTAGGCGTATAGGTGTAAAATAGAGCTTAAAAAATTCAGTGGAAGGATAGAAAACTTGCAGGCTTTATTAAGGATTCAAAGACGTATGCATGCCTCATCCGCTGTTTAAATTATGCCCGGTGTTTTGTGGCAAATGTTAATACAAGGTTAAAAAGACAAACCAGTGTTTCGGGATTTGAAGTTTGTAAAAATAGCTCTGTTCTGCACCGCTTTAATTGAAAGCGAGTTGAGCTGAAATGTAATTTTACATCTTTTCCTTGATTTTTTTTTTACTTCCCATCTTTCTTTCTTTGGGTCTATCTTTGGTTCTTTGTTTCTCACACTCTCTGTTTTTGAAAGGTGAACAATAACAAGATCCATTTCTCCTCTCTCATTTTAACAAGGACAGTATCAGTGTGGTTCTTGTTCATTAGTATCACATATCACACCTCTGTCACCCTTAGATCTGGAGGAGGCAGAGGTGTCAAAATGACACATGTGCGCACGCATATTTTTTTACCCTCTCCTTCACCGAAAGAAAAAGCCACAGAAGTCGATTCGCACTAGTTCCTGCTCTTTCCCTCAGTATTCCATTTTTCTTCTGTTATTTTGCACCCCTGGCCTGAATTGTGCATTTTTCTTCATAGCAGCAATGTGTGAGTTTCTAGTAGTATTACAAAAATGAAAAGCACCTAGTGCCTGCCTTTAACTCCTCACTGCCACCACTACCCAAGGGCAATAGCAAATTAGATATACATGCCCTCTGGAGATGCAAGAAACGTCTTTGTATTTAGAAAAAAGTGCTTGTTTGTTCATAGTGCTAATTTTATTTACCTTCCCTACCACTGCGTTAATAAAACAGCTCAGGGGACTATATGAGCAAGAGCTTTAAATAGCAGTAAATTAGTTTATTCAGTATTTCTTTTATCCTTAGAATAGATGAGCTTTTCATTTTGTGTGTGTGATTAAATCTCATGTGATGCACAGGCTTTCTTAATTGTGGCTTGTAGGCCACACTGACACAATTGGGAGGCTCATCATCAGAAAATGAAATATATATTCTCATTTTCAGGATACTTTAGCTGACTGATTGTTGTAGGAGGGTACAGGCCTTCACTAGTTAGTTATTTGAAATACTCAGTAGAACTGCAGTTTCAGAAGATTCAAGGAATCGGTTTTAATGAACGATCGGGAATTATACATTTATTCAGCCGTTTGACCATTCCTTGCACTGCGTTTTAAACGTAGCTCCACTTCTCCATATGATAGTTGTCAGGCAGATCTGAGAGGTCAAGGATGCCTGTGCCCGCAAGCTGTGATTTAATATTAATGACCAGCAGCCAATTGGAAGTCATCAATAGGTCAGAGGTTATCTTGGGGTTGCAGATGCAGGAAGTTAATGTAATTAAAGATGCATCACATTGTCGATTGCAGAGAAAGCGTCTCTTCCACTCTTAATTTCTTTGTTGAGCTGTCTTCTCTTTGTAAGGCCCTTTAATATGCCTTTGTGCGTTTTGATTTTTGTCCAAATACCTTGTGCTTTGCATGGATTTTCATCCAAACACTCCTTATAGTTGTCTTTTTCTGTGTGTGTAGCACATCTGAAAGCCTTTGTAAGAAGGAAAGTGACTGGGGAAAGAAAACAGATTGAAGGCATAAATAGTCAGAAGGCTACATGTAATGGTCTCGTGAGTTGTCTTTGACAGGGTGCTGTTACATGAGGATGCTCCTTCTGATTCCACTCTGTGCCTGTTGTACTTTGATAGAAAGCTTGTAGTCAGTGGTTTGGCTTATTTAAATATACATTTTATTTTCTGTTCTGTTTAAAACCTTTTCCAGTTTGAATTTTTACAGAAGATTCTATTGGAAGGCCAGTTTCCCAAAAAATCATTTAGATTCCTGTACTTGTAAAATGCTTTGTCTTTAGAAGAATTCTCTTGTGCTACTTTGGGCTTTTGGGCTAATTGGCTGTTAATTGGAAGAAATAGTGATAAATAATAGTAATAAATGCCTAAATGCCTTTGGGATTAGGTGTTATCACTGAAATTTGTGGTAACACATGCTGTCAGTCTCAATGGGAATGTCATGTCCTATAGGTATGCACCTTTTTCCCCTATGGAGTTCTTTTCCAAGCCACCCAACAGCTGTCAATACAAACAAAATACATGGAAGAAATCATTGCATTTATTCCCACAACATTCTACTGGCCCCGATTAATCCAATGAGCCAGCCGGTCAATAATCAAATACTAATGATCGGCAGCAGAGGTTGCTAATTAGGTTTTGATTGGCTGAATCCTCCTGAGTCCACGGGGAAAGGCACCACCCTCCTTTCATGCTGTGGTGCCTTAGATAGTTCAAAGGTGCACAGCAGCAGTGGACAAATGTCTGTGATTTCCAAACTCGGGCAGAATCTTATGTAATAAATTAGGTAGTAGTTGGCTGTCAGTGATTGTATTGTGATTTGTTTTTGTGTGTGAAACCAAAGTAAAAGTAGTTCCACAAGATGGATAATATGAACCAGTGGTCCTAAAGTGCTGTAGATTGGTTTCATAGCAAAAGTGGATCTTTTGCTGTGGATTTTTAAAAGGTAAATGTTGATAACGTGATGTTCTATGACATGGTTTTCATCTAAAGTAGTGTCCTGTAACTCTTGGTTGCACGATACAATTTGTCAATAAAGCTAGTGCGACACTTTTTGTGTTACAAAGTAGCTACCAGTATCTTTACCCAATCAGCTGAAATTGTGTAGTGTAACAAAAAAGAAGCAGGACAGACATCCATTATTTGAGAGGGATTAGTTTCCATTTCAGAGCAATAAAAATAGAGATGAATGCCTTTTTTATACACTATTTGTTTTTAAAATGATTTTCTAGGATATAGCAAAAACTTTGAAATTCCAACTAAGTGTCTCTGTCTTTCTTTCTCTTATAGAGTCCCTGGTGTAACTATTGCTACAGATATAATCTGTGGTTTTCCCGGAGAGACTGAGGAAGACTTTGAAGCAACCATAGACTTAGTGAAAGCCTATCGATTCCCTAGTCTTTTCATCAACCAGTTTTACCCCCGACCCGGTACGCCTGCCGCCAGGTTGGAGCAAGTACCAGCACATGTGGTGAGTGCAGACACGGACAGAGTTTTGATCAGATGCTCTGAAACATGCCAATTAAAGAAGCAAACTTTAGCTTATTGTTACTTAAAAATGTAAAAGCCTTTTCTATACTTGTGAAGATTTTGCATTATTTTAGTATCACTAATCCTGAGCTGTATGGAGGAGTGACTGCGAGAGAACATAAATCAAGCTAATGCGCTCCATAGACATTTATAGACATTATTTAGCTGAAAATCTTCTTAAATAATAAATTGTCTGAAGCATTTTTCTCTCGACTTCCCAGGAGATCTACATATTATTAGTAAGCGTTGTCTAACGGTGGTAACAGTCTCATCTGAACACATTATTGTTCTTTGTATAACCACCCAACTTGCGACACATCGCTTCTCTAGCTTCCTACATCTCCCCATCTGCTGCCAAATAAAACAATTAACAGCTAATAAAATCTTAATTGTTTGCAAAGGTGTGTGAGTGAGGGAGGGAGTGAGAAGCAACGCAGACTGAGCATATCACACTCAGTCACACCAACGTTTTCTTGACCTTTTCGCTCATGGATTTCTCAGCTAGATTGCTGTTTGGCGGAACTAAATTCTTATATAATGAGCTAAAGCGTTCATATGTATTATATCAATGCTAAGTAATAATGTAGTTGAACTTTATGATCACGCCGTTGATTATACACATTTTTTTCTTCATAATACACTTTAGCAATAGTACACCTTGTGATTTTTTTTTTCCACTTAAGGAACTAAAATTAACACGCGATTATTTGCAGTTGTTTGTAAAAATCTTTACTCGTGGAAAATTATTTACTATTACTAAAATATGATCCTGTTTCTAAAGTTATTGGACAAAACGTGCAACAAAATGCAACAGCTCACATTACTGAAGTGCTGACGTTTCACATGTGCTGCTTGTGTTTGTACTTCTACCTGAAATATTTTCTTTGACCTCCTTTTTCTTTAGTTTGACCTTTTACATATGCTGTACTCTATACCGTGTTGTCTTCTTTCTTGCCTTTATACTCCAATACTCTGTGCCATCAAAGTGTTGACACATCTCTTTCAAGTGGAGTGTCTTCATAAGTCATTCTCTTTTTCCCCTTTTCTCGCCTTCCTCACTTTGCTCTCTGAGGAGAAGCCGGGTGCTTCCTAGAGGGATCAATCCCCAGACACAACCACACTGCAGCTTCTATTCTTCTTTATTTCCCTCTTCGTCCCTTCTCCTCTGACCTTTATTGTCTGTGTTTGGATTATAGCACAGTCAGTCCAAGACTTCATTCAGCTTTTTGAGTTTGAAATGTGACATGTAAGAAGACCTTTAATTGTCAAATTAGCATCTTTTTGTAAGACAAGAGTTTACAAAACTGCTTCAAAATAACTCAAAACACTGTAAAATCCTAAAAACTGGACTTCACTGAACTGCAGTGCTCTGCTTTTAATACATACAGAATATGGTTTGGCATTTTGCTGAAATAAACAAGCTAACCTAATCAAGATGCTGATTGAATGTAGGGCTGTGCCATTATGGCCTAAAAGTACTATTGCAATTATTTATCATGTTTTTTTTAATTGATTTTAAGCATCAGAAATATTTTTATTGTAGTGTCAGTTAAATATAACACTGATATGTTAACATTATCGTTATCTTTATTCGTGCTGCAAATCTTTGCATCAAAATAAAATAGTTCCTACTTATTTAAATTCATAGAGTCACTTAAAATAAAGTGAAGTAAATTACAATGTAAA